AACCTAAACCTAAACCTAAACCTAAACCTAAACCTAAACCTAAACCTAAACCTAAACCTAAACCTAAACCTAAACCTAAACCTAAACCTAAACCTAAACCTAAACCTAAACCTAAACCGCAGGTTATGTTATGCTCTGTGAAGAGGTTATGGATTGGCTGTGTTAATATTATATCGACTTGTATATTTCATGTGGCTCCATCTAGCGTTTAATAGAGGAATTGCATGAATTTCGCATAATAACGACGTATAAATTTTATGTGGCGCCATCTAGCGCGTACTACTGGAATTCATGCAATTCCTCTATATCATTCTGCTAGTCAAAACTAAACTTATCACGTGTGTAGGCGGAATGATTTTAGACGAATCTCTCCGTCTGGAATGCCGTACCGTTATACGGCAGTCCTCATACATACATACATACATATCTGTCACGCCTGTCTCCCATTAGGGTAGGCAGAAACAATGGAACGCCAAATGCTTCGATTCAAACAAACCTCTTTCGCTTCTTCCACATTCATCAATCTTGTCATACACGCTCGTCGGTTACGGGTATTTGTAATTTACGGCAGTCCTCGTTGTCATCATGTCGTCCTCCATTTGATATTGTGTCCACACCGAAATTGGGCACACTGATTTCGGTTATTCGCGCACTAATGAGGTGCGTCTATTCGTAGGCTATCGCCGATCCGCCGCCCCTTTTTGCTCTAATGACATTAGGGCCATTATGGACAGCGGCATGCCGGCTAGCTTAGCAGCCGATCTCGACGCAAAACACACAACGAGGGGGTGGGGGGCGGGGGGAGGTCAAGTCGTATGACGGAGGACGGCTTTCCGCTGCTCTCGGTCATGTACCTTGGTCAATTAACCTGGGAGTGATGTATGATCTTGATATGCAGCACCTCCCGGGTCTAGTCACGCTTGATTTAACAGCCACTTTTATTTCTGCGCCGTGTCCCAGAATTAGAGTCCACTGGGCGGCGTTTCAGCACTAGTTCGACGGTTACTCTCTCGACCACGAGCTCTCCACACCGGAGCCGATAAAGGACGCCTCCAGTGTTTATAAATGCCATTAAGGCTGCTAAAGAAAAGGCCACTATCGAGCAAGCGACCGAACACGACACTAAGCTGCACCGACTCTCCCGACAACTATTTATAAGATCACCACCCGTGTGTCCGTTACTCATCCCTTGCCCGTGCCTATAGATCCACGAGTCGTCAAGCATTACGAACGAGTGACGTGGCGCGTAGAGGAAAGTCCCCGCAGCCGACGAGTGTAGAGTTCATCTCGCCCGCCGAGCTGCGGAGGACCGTGGAGCATCTCCCCAGGAGGCAGGTGCCGGGACCCGATGGAATTTTCAACGCCGAGTTGACGCCTGGTAGCGATCATCTGGTGCGACTAGTGGCGTTGTTCCTCATGGACCGTAGCTTTGTCGTTTCGGTCGAGGACGATTGCTCTGTCACCCTCTCTGGCCGCCGAAGTTGTTCAAGGCAGCTGTTCGTTCTCTACTGACGTTCGCTCTCTACTGACACACTTTGATCTCTATTGTCACATTTTGAGTCTTGTAGGTGGTAGAGCCACGCTGTAATACCATATGGTATTGCAGCATGAATGGGCCGGCTCGACCGGGGAAGTACCACACCCTCACAGAATACCGACGCCAAGTGGCCGCACTTTTAGTGCGACCACATTCCATATGGTGAGTGAGGGAGTCCGGAGGCCCATCCTATACCCATCCCCTTCCTTATCCTAAAATCCTCCCCCAACTCCGTCCCCCCATCTTTCAATACCATGGCAGTGGAATTTAAAAAAAAAAAAAAAAAAAAAAAAAAAAAAAAAAAAAAATAACGTACCCCAGGGAGGTACCAGCAGCCATGTTGCTGGAGAATCCTCCCTCGAGCAACCACGCTCGGGCTGCCCTGCGTGTTCTGGGGGGGGGGGGGGGGGGGGGGGGGGGCAAAATTCCGCTCTATGGGACCAAAGGCAAACAGAGCAAGACTTCTGCGGCATCCCCTTTGCTCAATGTGAGCCTCTGTAATATTAGGGGAATTCATTCAAACCTGAACGCTGTCCACCACCACCTAGAAACGGCGCGGCCGGCATTGCTCTAATAAATCATTGATATCCCCTCCTAACGAAACATCATACCTGACCTACCCGGGGTATAAGCTTGAACATTGTTTTGTTTCGCGTGCCGGTGTATGTGCGTATGTCAGAGAGGATATCTGCCGTCGACGTCTTGGGACCTGTCCATTCTATGGCTGCGCGTAGATTGCAATGACCATCCTCGCATCTATGCGTGCCTATACAGGTCCCACAGCGGTAACACTGAAACCGACCAACTCATTGAGCACGTCCAAGTGGCTACAGATTCCCTGCTTGAGCAGATTCCTTCCGCTGAAGTCGTGATTGTTGGCGACTTTAATGCCCACCATGCCGAATGGCTTGGTTCGCGTACAACCGACTATGCGGGAAGATCTGTTCATGACTTTGCTTTGGCTTATGGTCTGACACAGCTTGTTTCCTCGCCTACGCGAATCCCTGATGTGTTACCTTCACTGCTGGACCTTCTGCTGACCACCCACCCAGACAACTATGTGATCTCCGTCGAAGCCCCGCTTGGATCGTCGGATCACTGTTTGGTGTGGAGCGAAGTGCCTCTTACGAGTCCGACTCCACCTCGTTCTACGGGTAGACGTCGCATTTGGCACTACAGGTCGGCAGATTGGGATGAGATGCGGATTTTTTTCGCATCTTACCCATGGAGGCAGGTTTGCTTCACACTGGATGATCCCGACGCCATTGCCGATTCCATTGCTGATGTGGTGCTTCAGGGAATGGAATTATTTATTCCTAACTCTGTGGTGCCCGTCGGCGGGAAATCCCAGCCCTGGTATGGAGCCTCCTGTAGAACACTATCTCGTCTGAAACAGGAGTGCTTCCTAACCTGGGCTAAAGGTGTGGCGTCGCGAGATCCTAACACCAGTGCTCTTAAAAAAAAAAAAAGAAGTATAACTCTGCCTCTAGGTCTTTCAAAAGAGTTATAGCCACAGCGAAGTCAGAGCATATTGGTAGAATTGGCAAGAGATTGGCTAGTTTGCCCTCTGGGACTCGAGCTTTCTGGTCTCTTGCCAAAGCTGCACAAGGGAATTTCTGTAAGTCATCTTTTCCACCTTTGCGCAGGGAGGATGACTCGTTGGCCCAGAAAGCTAAAGAAAAGGCCGATCTTCTTGGATCCATCTTTGCGTCAAACTCGACATTGGATGACGGGGAGAAACCACCACCGACCATCACGTGTTGTAGGAGCTCTATGCCTGACATTAAATTCACGCATAGCTCAGTGCGTAGAGCACTTTTCTCCCTCGAAATCCATAAGTCGAGTGGGCCCGATGGTATTCCTCCAATTGTGCTTAGGACGTGCGCACCAGAGTTCGCTCCGGTTCTTACGCGTCTTTTTCGGCTTAGCTACTCATCGGGCATAGTCCCAAAGTTTTGGAAGACTGCTCTGGTGCATCCGATCCCTAAAAAAAAAAGGAGACCGCTCAGATCCAGCTAACTATAGGCCCATAGCTATCACTTCCTTATTCTCGAAGGTTATGGAATCCATCATTAACCGTCACCTGCTCCGGTACCTAGAAAAGCACCAGCTGATCTGTGATCGCCAGTACGGCTTTCGACAGGGACGTTCGGCCGGTGATCTTTTAGCTTACTTAACACACCGATGGGCAGTGGCAATCGAGAGTAAGGGAGAGGCCTTAGCAGTTAGTCTGGATATTGCGAAGGCCTTTGATCGGGTGTGGTATAGAGCGCTGCTTTCAAAGCTACTTTCATTTGGGTTGCCTGCGAGACTGTGCATTTGGGTCGCCAGTTTTCTCAAGGAACGTAGCATTAAGGTCGTAGTCGACGGTGCATGCTCTGATTTAAAACCTTTGAATGCTGGTGTCCCGCAAGGCTGTTTACTATCTCCGACTCTGTTTCTTCTGCATATCAATGATATGTTACAGATAAGTAATATTCATTGCTATGCAGACGACAGTACAGGAGATACATTATATACCGGTCATGCAAAGATCTCGCGGGCACATAACGATGAGTGCCGGAATAGACTTGTGTCTGAAATCGAAACTTCACTCCATCAAGTTTCGATCTGGGGTGAACAAAATTTTGTCCAATTTAACCCCAAAAAGACACAAGTCTGCGCGTTTACCGCAAAAAAGACGCCGTTTGTCGTATCTCCTCACTTTCAGGGCACTTCCCTTGATAAAAAAAAAGTCGAGTCTAGGAATTCTGGGCGTTGATATATCTTGCGACGTCCAGTTTTGCGGTCATCTGGAGGAGAAGGCTAAGATAGCTTCTAAAAAGTTAGGAGTGCTCAATAGGGTGAGACGATATTTCATGCCAGAACACCGCCTGAAATTATATAAAGCCCAAGTCAGGCCGCATATGGAATACTGTTCTCACCTGTGTGCAGGAGCGCCACAGTACCAACTCCTTCCGTTAGACCGCATTCAAAGTCGGGCGGCTCGAATTATCGATAGTCAACGCCTTACTGTCCGACTTGACCCACTGAAACTGCGCAGAGATGTTGCATCTCTGTGCATCTTCTACCGAATTTATCATGGGGAGTGTTCTGAGGAATTGTTCGGATTGATACCTGCTGCTGATTTTCACCACCGTACAACCCGCCACAAACTAAAGTTTCATCCCAATCATCTGGACGAGTGGCGGTCTTCCACTGTGCGATTTTCATGGCACTTTCTTCCACGCACAACCATTCTTTGGAATCAACTTCCAGCAGCAGTATTTCCGAACCGATACGACAACATAACCTTCAAGAAAAGAGTATATTCCTTTTTAAAAGGCCGGCAGCACACCTGCAATGCCGCTGGTGTTGTGGGTGATCATGGGCGGCGGTAGTCACTTACCATCAGGTGAGCCGCATGCTCGTTTGCCCCCTGTGTTGTAAAAAAAAAAAAAAAAAAAAAAAAAAGAGCCGAAAGAAAATCCTTATAAGTAAGCTCGTGACCGAGTGATGCTGGGACTTCAGTTTCGGATACGTATTGTATCTACGGGTTGATCTCCTCCTAATGTCACCTTATAAAATCTAAAGACTGCGACTGTGGCCACAGCGCTTTGGCAGCGCGGCTAACTTCGCGGATACTCTCTGATGCGCGTATTACGAACGCACCGTGCTTGCTCGTTAAAAAAAAAAAAAAAAAATTAATATTATTTTCCTCATATTGTCTTGTAACGAATCATTGTGTATGTGCTTGTAGGTTACTCAAATAGATCATTTTAGTGACTAGAAATAGCATTCGCTCCGTGTATGCGTAAGTTCATTTTTACTGTATACCCACCATCAACAAATATTAGTGAACCTCGGATAAATACAGTGTTGGTGAGGCCCCAGGAGTCACCAAAAGGCCCTACACCACAGATCTGTCAAGGTCGCCTTAAAAGCCACTCTCAAAGAAAGGTCACCCAAAGAAGAAATACTTACGACACTTGTAGCAGAAGCTGAGGCAATTGTAAATTCACGCCCATTAACTCATGTTTCAAGCGATCCTGATGAACCAACCTCAAACCAAATAACACCACCATTGGAGGATCGTGACCTAATTGACCGTTCGGACTGGAGAAAGGCATTAAGGTTGGCTGATCATTTTTGGAATCGGTGGGTGCGGGAAGTCCTCCCCACAATGCAACTAAGAGTCCAAACAAAAGAAACGCAGGATTTGCAAGTCGGAGATGTGGTTTTTATAGTCGACGAGTCCCTACCACGAGGTACTTGGCCACGAGGATGGATCGAAAGATTGTTTCCCGGCAGAGATGGAGTAACACGTACACGAGTAGTGGACGTTGCCACACCAGGAGGAAAGCTACGGCGCCGCTTTAAAAAAAAAAAAAAAAATGTCTGCTGTGTCCAAAGAGTAGATAACAAACAAACTCAATTATTTATTGTAACATTTATTTGTTTGCTTATGAATCTAGTATCACAAATTTCGTTTCTTTAATAATATTTATTACATTACATACATATAACACATGATATCTCCTTTATAAAGGTTCTTACTCTTTATTGAGATATATTTACATTTGACAAGACAATCTGCATGACAAGTGTTTTCTTTTATGATTACTATGCATATATGTATATGTATCGTAATACCATACATGCATAAAATTATTATAAACGTTGGTGTATTTGACACGTACCCGATTCTACACTAATAGAATCGTATAAATGAACACTTCACAGTTACGTCGCTTTTAATTTTTAAAATTTATTATTATACTTATCACGGTTGTACGATTAATAGTCATTTTTAAAAAAATAACTTTTAAACAATAATGTAAGATTATTTTTGTTGAATTATTCTTATGTATATCAATCGGGTCACACGAGCACTGGGATCCGACGTGGTTTTACACGAAATCCATTCTCCCGCTATAAGGCCATCTCCGGGCCGATGATTGCGACGCTGACTCTAGTCGCGCTGTCCACCACGTCGCGCGCTCCGTCCGCGCAGCACGCGGCCACCCCGCCGCCACCACCGCCGCCACCACCGCCGCCGCCGCCGCCGCCGCCGCGCAGCTCCAGGAGACGTCTCGGGTCGAGACACACTCCGTTTTCTTCCGTTTCACAGTTGTGCAGATCGTTAGTGATCACTTTGAGTCGAGGATACAAGAGAGTCTCATCGGTTTGCACTTGTCTATCTAGCGAACAGGTTTTATCTGAAAATGGAGAGAGTTGTTTAGATAGATAGATAAATAGACACTCTTTGTTGTTTCCTCCGAAAGTTTACAGTAGTAAACTTGTTAGAAATAGATACAAACAATTACAAGAAATGAGAAAACAATAGACGGCCTTATCGCTAAAAGCGATCTATTCCAGGCAACCTTTGGATGGAGAGGAGTCATTTAGTAGTCATTTAGTAAAATTAAAAAAAAAAAAAAGTTAAAAGGACTCGGGATAAGCGATATAAAGTTAAAATACGAAGAAATGACGAACCGGTATCGTTAAGCGTAGACAGGTCGGTGGAGGGCGTGAGGTCGGGCGCGCGCGGCAGCGGCGCGGCGCCCACGAAGGCGGCGCAGACGGCGCCGCCGGCCGCGCCGCGCCGCACGCCGCCGGCGCCCGCCGCGCCGCCCGCTGCCGCGCTGCTCAGCGAGCGCCAGCGCGGCGGCATCAGCGTGGCACGTACGTTGCGTTCCGGTCTCACAATAATTATATACAGCTGCAAACGTTCGGTACTCAATAATTTTGAATACTGATATTGGAATTTTAATCGCTGATAAAACGATGCTCTTTGGCGAATACTATATTAAACACTACGTTACAGGATATAAACGACATTCATGGCACAGTGATGGGCATGTTGTTCTGTGTCAATGAGGTTCCGAGTTCGATTCCTGGTCGGTTCAATTCAGGAAATGAACTTTTCTGATTTGGTTCGGGTCTAATGTTCTGGGTTGATATTCATCAATTAAAAAAAAAATTATAAAAAAAAATCCACCTTAGGTGTGAAAAGGCAGGCTAGGGTGACGCTGGCGCTCAACGAGATGGTGACAGCCATGCTTGTGACGCGCAGCGGCACATGACTCGCTGTGCCGAAGTACAGAGGCACGAACGCCAGCCAGATCACGCATGTTGTATACATAGTGAATCCTGTAGAAGGTAGTTTTAGATGTAGTTGTAGCTAGACATTTAAACTTGTAAATATTCATTCATTCTTTCAAAGAATTGTACCTTAAATGTATATATGATGTAGAGTTAAGTACAGAAGTACAGTGAAAAGTATATTAATAGAAAAAGCATAGATTGTGCACGTGTTGTGGGAGTACCAATGTGTTTGCTCTCGTTGAAAGCCTCCGGTATCTTCCTGGTGAGCACGGCGTACACGGTGCACACCACGATGAGCACCACCGGGTAGAAGAAGGCGATGGTGTAGGAGGCGTCCACGTACGAGTCGCACACCAGCATGTTGTCTTCGCGCGACGGGTGGTGGTGGATGGCGCGCGCCGGCGACACCACCTGCCACACCACCACCACCACCACCTGCGGCACGCGGGCTCTTATATAGGAGACAGCACAAGAGCTATTATGTAGGATTAGAACAGGAGTGTTTGGGATAATGATATGGTAAGTGACTGCCGTGGGCTCCAGTAACATATTTTTCTTTCTTTCTAACACAACCTGAATATTGTAGGTAAATTGGCGGCCTGTTTTGATCTTCAGTTGAGTTGAACTTTGATAAGGCTAAGTTATGTGTAATCTGACTTACTTTTATGAAGGTAGGTATACAAATGAATGAAAATTCTTTGTTCATTGCAGAGAATGATACAGTTACATAAATATAGGAAGTAAGACGAAGGGATAGCAATGTGTGACCTATTAGGTTATACTACTTATAATTACGAATACGTTCTTTCTGGAATTATGGATAGTTTACAATGAATTATCGGTTAAGAAATACTGCTGTGAGCTCAAAGTTAGTTGAATCCAACTGACTAATGTTAAAGTCAAGCTAAACCAAACAAGATAAATTGACAATAGAATAAAAAATATTAAGTTATCTATGTAGCTTGTATATACCTGTATAGAAACTAGGATTGAGCAAATGACGAGTTGTGACTTGGGCGATATGAGCGAGGGTCTGCGGGCGGAGTGCTTGCTGGCGTCGAAGATACGAGCAATTCTGTTCGTTTTCGTCAGGAGAGCTGCGTACACCACTGTGAAGCAGAAGCCGGTGCCGAATCTGAAAAAAAGGTGACTAATTAAAAAAAAAATACCGAAATAGAAATTATATAAATATAGTATAAAATTCCTCATATATATACATAAGTCATAGTTTGCGTGACAAATATTTAAACTAAAATGTCTTCAGCCGTTAAGACGTGTATCAGTAAAGTACCTTAAAATACCTTAAAAAAAAGTCTTAGTAGGATTTAATAAGAAAGGATTAACCTTTGCAGCGAGCACAGAAAATCGGTGGGCCGCAACACGAGCGCGAAGGTGACGAGGTAGCACATCATGATGCCGCCGAGCAGCACGAACGAGAGCTCGCGGCCGCTGGCGCGCACCACGGGCGTGTCGCCGCGCGCCGCCCACACGCACAGCACGAACCTGCGACCACGCGGCACATGTAGGGCGTCCCGGGCGGCCACACGCCTCCACACACAACATCGAATAGTAATAGCGAGTGTACGTGGTGAGCAGCAGGCCGAGCGTGGAGAAGGCCATGGCGCCGATGGCGGCGGGGTGGTCGGGCCGCAGGTACAGCTCGGGCACGCGCGCGCAGCGCGTGCGCGCCGCGTCGGGCAGCGTGCCCAGCGGACACTCCGCGCACGTCGTCTCCGACACCGGCGACCGGATCTGCGCACAACATTTCTGCTGGCTGCCACTTGTCAAGTGAAATAATAAACAAACACCAAAGAGTGATCTGGAAATTGTTACAGTAATTGTGGTCAAATTGTTCCGGAGCTACGATCCCGCTGATACTCAAACGAACACGCATAAGCGAAACCATAAGATAAGTATAGTAAGGCAAGTGGTCGCTCGACCTCGTACTGAGTGCAGTTGAAGCAGTGCCAGCAGCAGCTCTCCCCCTCCACGTACTGCTTGGCCTGGCCGAGCTCGCACTCCGCGCTGCACACCGACTCGGGCGGGCGACGCTCATCCCACTTGAATTGAATATCTGTAACAAACAATCATCATCACAACGATAGTTTCTTCTTTATATTTTTTAACATATAACATTTATTATTTATTTATTATTTAACATATTTTTTCTTCAATTGCTACTTATCACGCATAATGATTTAATTGTCCCATCAATCTCTTAAAGAAATTATATGTCGTGAAGTGTCCTTTTAAATCAAATATATATATATATATATATATATATATATATATATATATATATATATATATATATATATATATATATATATATATATATATATATATATATATATATATATATATATACGTCGACTCTATATATTTTATGTTAAGATTTGAGTATTTATTACCATCCATGTTCAATTCCAGTTCACCGTCGAGGTATCTCCCCACTTTAAGCCACCGGTAAACTCCCTGTGAGACTTGTTTGAAGTGTAAGATATTATAGCGCACAGGACCGTCACCGTTACTGTCGAAATGGAACTCGTCGCCGCTGAGACCTGCAAGTTCATATACTCGTATTATACTGTTATATTTACTAATTGTTACAATAAATTCGCAAAATGAGTTTCACCTGTGAATCGCACTTTGCGCAGGTACCGTAGAAGCGCCGCTCCGCTCGCAGGTCGCATCGCTTCGCAGAGTCCAGGTTTGCCGCCACATAGATCGTTATGCATGTCTCTGTAAAATGATAAAACAAATTATGAGATACTATAATGTTAGAATACACGATAATAATTGATTAGGATTTGTTGCTTTTGTTATACAAAAACACTGTACTATTTTTTTTTTGGCATCGATGCATATACCTATTTTCGCCACTAAACTTGTAATGTTGTATTTCAGTTAGAATGGGACACATAATAAATAAAAAAAAAATCTGTGAAAACGATTGACAAAGTCGACAACGATCGACTGATGCTAGTCACGTGTATAGCATTCATGAGTTACGATTTACGCATAGCAAAAGGCGAAGTAATTTATAAAATGTGTGACAAGTCTATTCAGATAATATGAAGAACACTGAATTGGAAAGAAGGTTAAATAATAATGTCACAAGAGTTGGACATAACAGTAAAATTATAAGGCTGTTTAAAATTTTAAGTATTTAGGTACCTAATGGCGTGCACGAAGGCGAGTACTGCGTCAGCGACGAACTGTAGCTGAGCTTCGAACTCGGTGTTGTCAGCGGTGAGCCGCTCGTGGCCAGTGCACTGGCGCTCGTAGTGCCCGTTGTAGGGCGTGCGCGCGCTGCCCGGGTACCGACATCGGAAATGATCCTCCCAAAATTCTGTGCCATCATAATAATCACAATTTCATCAAAGTGCCATAAATGGTAAGTAAGGGTATAAAGACTTCCGTGTGTGAACGGAAATCTCAAAATAATATCCAAAGACAAGACGCAGGCAGTTCGTTATCAGCCATCGAAACTCTTAAACTTAGCGTGAAGTTATAAGCAGCTAGATACTTAAGATATTCAAAGATATAATCAATATGGAAAATATTGATTTTATTTTATAAGTGGTTAGTTTGTAAATTAAAAAAAAAAAAAATTTATCGATTGAGACACAGCCTCCTTCAATTTTCAAGATAATTTTTATTTCTCTCGGTCAAAAGAATTTAGTTAAGTACCTACAGAATAAAACCTTTTCTACTTAAAGTCATAAGTGTTTTCCAATTCATTAATCACAATCGTCGGGATCACATTCATGAATGAACACAATGTTTGATGTTGCGAATAAGTACAAGAAAACAAAGTGGTTATATATTAGGAGACATGCCTACTGAGCTGGAACAATGAATTATCATCTTGTATCCATAAGGTAAAATTATTTAAAGAGAATCGATTGAAATGTATAATTTTTAACATTTTCTAGTAGCATTTTGTGATTGCTATTCGCGAATGTGATACGTTGGTGAGAATTACCGACAAACCAGGGGTTCCGGGGGTTATTCTCGACGGTGAGGTTGAGGAAGTAGTCGCGGAAGCCGCGCACGGGGTTGGCCTGCGGCTGCACGCTGATGGTGCCCTCGACGGCGGCCTCGTTGCCGTCGGAGACGAGCGCGCGCGCGCTCCAGCCGTCCGAGCCCACCCAGCCAAACGCGGACGTGGCGCGCATGCGGCCCACCGCCGCCATCACGCCCGCCACCTCTTGGTCAGAGCCGAACACGATCACTCCTGCCACACAGTTGCAAACACGAAACCGCGTCACTATCTGTCATCTACTCTATAATCACGTTTGAAAATTTCATTGATAATAATACTGGTGCAGCAGGTGTACCTCTGGCTCTTGGTCGAGACAATAAGCGAGAGACTATTGCATTGTAGGCGTTCTCATCCGCCTCCCCGGAGTCCTTCACGAGTCGCTCTTTTACTGCTATACATATATCGTTACGCGCTAATAATGTTTCCAGTTCTTCGAATGCCTGTAAATAATATTTCTTTTCAGTTGGTACACTTTAGAATGACAAATGTTTAGATCATAATATGTATGTGCATTTACAGGAATTATGTAGTCGAACCTTTATGCCGTAGTTGGATTCTTCATAGATAATGGACACATATTTCCAACCAAGTTTCTTTACTATTTCAACCATCGCTCGGACCTGATGTTGGTCTGAAGGAATTGTTCGCGTAAAGTACTCGAAGCGAGCTTTGTTTGATAGTTCCGGAGACGTCGAGAAAAATGACACCTACGTACAAAATATGTGATTAATGTATGAGAAAAATGTACATATATCTTAATTCATTTCATAATTTTATAAATTCTGTTAAAATTACATTATGTTAGTCTATAGATAGGCACAGTACACACCTGTAATAATTTCTAAGATATTTCTATAAAACAATTAATTAATAGAATTCTTGACCTAGTTACATTGGCCAGCTATTTGATTTACTCGTATTTTAAAGCATAATCATAATAAAATTGTAAACGCAGATAGTAGGCTAGCATTTTGTCGATAAATAATGTACAGTATTGCTACATAGACATGTGAGTATCGCAACAAGGGTTAGTATAAAATGGTCAGTACTTGTGGTATTTTGAAGAGTCGCAGTAAGTTGGCCACTTGCACGGAGGTGACGCTGGACGCTGCGCCCACCACGCCCGAGATCACCTTCCGGACCGCCGTTGCATTGCAAGCGTATTCAGCGTCATCAATGTTGCTTATCGATCCTGCCATTAAAGTGATCTTTTTGCAGTGCGGAAATGGGGAGTAAAACGACATCGGCCGTAAAAATAAATGAGGTAATACTAGGAGTGTAGCGTATTTATCATAACAGATATAAATCACAAGTATTCGAAGATAACAGATAACAGTTGTTCTTACAACGTCATTATAATTGTTAAAAAATATCATTTATATATCACCATACTCAAGTTATTCAACCACTATCAACATCGACGTTTTCAGTATTCGATAACATTGCTTGAAATAACAGAACAGCCAATAAAAATGAAACAACTATTCTTGTCTTTGTGTTTTGTATGATATTGTCATAAGCTAAGAACGAGACACATCTAGTACGAGTATTTATTTGAAATAAACCAAAATTATAGTAAGTCGTTTCATAGAAGAGATCCTCTTTGAAAAGCGAATTCTTAATTAGATCGTGTTATATGGTGGATTAATCTATCTCGATCATACCCATGTTATTTAAAAAACAGATATCAATACCTGTTATTTTTGCGTAACAGTAACAATTATAACAGATATGATGTTTGTCCTGTTCTAACCCACGTGTAGGTTGGGGGGAAAGGGATCGTTAGCAATGGAGTTTGACCGCCCCATTGCTAGCAATATGCCCTATTAGGTCGATCTCCACGTGGTTCCCCCTGGAAACCATCGTGAACAATTCTTGTTGAATTCATCACGATGGGCTAACTGACTTGCTTCATCCTCGCTTATCATCCTTTACTGGTACCCCGCCGATGTATACCGATAGCGCGGGTGGGGTTACCATTTCATTATCACCCATAAAATAAACCGCATGTGGTATGTATGGTAATACCTTTAATGAAGTCGAGAGCCATCTCGAGGCCGTAGGTGTCGTTGTCGCAGTCGTCGAGCACGTGCGCGCCGAGGCGGACGCCGGGCGGCGGCAGCTGCGCGCGCGCCGCCGCGTCCAGCGCGAACAGCATCGCCTCGAGCGCCTGCACGCCGCCCTGCGCCATCACCGGCCCGCACGTCGCCCCCTCCGACCGGCTGTGCACCTGCACACAACACTCCTTACACTTACGTCATCACGGATCCCACACTAGCCACACTTTGCTTCGCACAGAAGTTGTCCAAAGGGATAATAGTACCAATAACTTGGGAACACTATTTTGAGGTGGCACGTTCAAATATTATAATAGTATCCGATTTATTAATTGGCGTTGCTCTCGTAAATCACTATGTAAAGTATCCTATATGTCACGATATAACATAACCTATATGTATAAACCATTGTTTCTTAATTATTATTATGTCGCGATTCACGAAAAAGCCAAAAAGTTAGGTAAAAAAAAAGTTTTGCGATCCCGTCACTATTTCTAATATATAAAATTCTCGTGTCGCGGTGTTTGTTACCAAACTCCTCCGAAACGGCTTTACCGATTTTTATGAAATTTTGTGTGCATATTGGGTAGGTCTGAGTATCGGCCAGCATCTATTTTTCATACCCCTTAATGATAGGGGTGACCCACCCCTAATTTTTTTGACATTTTTTTTATTTTTCATTTCATTACGATTTAGCATTGAAAAATACATACACATTCAAATTTTCATGTATAGCTCTAGAAATTATGTATATGGTAAAACAACGTTTGCCGAGTAAACTAGTACATATATAATATTTTAATTACGAATTTATACATATGTTTAATAACAATTTTTTTATTTTTTAATTTAATACATTAACCAAGGGTGCACGAATCTGAATGATTTTGTTATTCGAGTAATTAGTAATTACTAATTTTACTTCTTTCCCTGTGTCCACTATGTAATATCTCAAAAATGGCTAATTTTTACTCAACCATTGGTAACACTTCCGACCTGTAACTACTAACGAATGATTTTAGCTATTAGTAGAAACGTATAGTGGATGAATATAGCAGTCGAATGATTTTCAAATAATTCGAACAATCCGAATAAATTGCTCAGTCGAATAATTAGTAATCGGATTAGTAAAGTCGCGTATCGCTACGTTAAATGAATCTTTCGGAGTCTTATTATTTTTTAACAGACTGCGCCCCCTTTAATAACAAACGCGACTCCCCTGGGGGGTCTCACCCCCCCCCCCCGACGTTGAGAAACGATGGTATAAACCAGTGTTTTCAAAGTGTGGGTCGCGACCCCTTGAGGGGTCCCCAAGCCTCTAAAAGGGTTTTTTTTTTTTATACAACTTAGAATGGCACACAAGCTGACGGCCCACCTGATGGAAAATGGTAACCGTCGCCTAGAGACATGAGCAGTACCATGGACATAATATAGTATACTGTTTCGCCCATGATACCCCCCATGCGTTGCCATTCCTGAGGACTCAGATGTTATTCCTCTGTACCCAGTAAATTCACGCCATATCCCACCCTTTAAAACCGAAACACAGCCATGCAAACACAACTGCTTCACGGTAGAAATACAAATGGGACAGAGGTACCCAAGCAATCGACTTTTGTACAAAGTCTCCCTCTGGTCAGGGGGTCGCGGTTGGTCTCGAAGCAGTGAAAAATCAACAGTTCCGTAAATACATCCAGTAATCAATAATACATAATGAAGTATCTATAACAGACATCGATTACGTGGCTGTTTTACATACTTTATTATGTTATGTACTTTATTATTTTATTTTCTCGATACCTAACTGTGAATATAAATACAACTGTACGGATTTCATAATTGTACTATAATAAAATTCATACACATTCGAAACCGTGGAGAGTAGGGGGTCGCAAGATGTTTTTACATAATAAGGGGGTCGTGTCATGAAAAAGATTGAAAAACACTGGTATAAACCATCTAATCTGTTCAGCCATTTAAACGCGATTAATGGACATACAAACATTATCCTCTACATTTTTATATTTTTAATATTACCAGTAATATTATCGTAAACAAAAAACATTGTTTTTTTTTGATAGATGAAAATGGTGTGGTAACCCCGCCTGCCCTAACGGGATACGCTGGCGGAGCACCAGTGAAGGGTGATAGATGAGAATAAAAACAGGCCAGTTAGCCCATCGTGATGAATTCATCGGGAATTAATCATGATAGTTTCTAGGGAGAACCGCGAGGACGTCGACCTGGTTGGGTATATTGCTAGCAATAGGATTTTCAGTCATGGAGACTACTACTAACAATCCCTTTTCCCCCAAACAGGATTGTTTAATGAGTAAATAAATTAGAAAAAAAAATCTTTTATAAATTTAGAAATAGAAAAACAACCATAAATTGTATAAATCGGATAGTATGAAACATACCAGTCAATCTTCTCTTGTTACAATGTGTGTTTGTGCAAGTGGGCGCTGACAATCCATGTTCAGTGGAGTTCATGGATTCCATCAGTGAATAATTATCTTAATAAGATTGTTTACACAAATATTTTCTTTCTTAATAGAGCTTCTTCTAAACAATAATTGTTCAGAAGAAGCTCTATTAAAAATAGTTTTATTGTTTTCTTGAAAGGGGTTGTTAGTAATGGGAACTAATGGCCCCATTGCTAGTAAGTCCTATCAGGTCGACCTCCACGCGGTTCTTTCTGGAAACCACCGTGATTAATACTTGTTGCATTCATCAAGATGGGCTAACTGACATACTATTACGCTCACTTATCACCTCTCACTGGTGCTCCGCCAGTGTATACCGATAGCGCAGGCGGGGCTACCATTACATTATCATCCATTAAAAGCATACATTGGTGCCTATCATGGCCCGTAATGAACCGGGTGCATTCATATATTAACATTTTGCATCAACAGAATCGCCAACACATGGAACAGGTGTTGGTTGTTAAAACAGATCATGATAAATAATTATATATGTATGAATGACAAAAAGAAAGCGGTTGAAATACGCATACTACTTTGTGTTTTTTTTATACAACTTATAATGGCAAACAAGCTGACGACCCATCTGATGTAAAGTGGTAACCGTCGCCTATAGACATGAGCAGTACCATGGTCATAGCAGAGTATACTGTTTTGCCCATGATACCCCGTATGCGTTGCCATTCCTGAGGACTCAGATGTTATTCGTCTGTACCCAGTAAATTCACGCCATATCCCACCCTTCAAACCGAAACACAGCCATGCAAACACAACTGCTTCACGGTCGAAACACGAATGAGATAGAGGTACTCAATCAATCGACTTTTGTACAAAGTCTCCCTCTGGTAGATAGATACTAAACATGGCCATTAACTGAAAGAAATCTTAGAAAATTAAAAGTATGTCTAATATTATCTAGTATCTAAACAGCCTAAACAGCATTGAAAGATGTGTCTTGGGCATAAAGATAAAGAAAAAGTAGCGAGCATTGAAGAAAAAAAAACTAAATTTAAGAATATTATCCATTCAAAAAAAAAGATGGGCAGGACATGTTATGTGGTCTACTCGCATAACATGTCCTGCCCATCTTCTTTTTATCCTATATCCTATCTCTTATCAACAGAATAGATAGAGGATAATAAGAAAGTATTTTAATAACAGTCTGCAAATGCAACAAACAAACAAACACACCTACACCCTTAACACTTCCTTTAAGGAGCAGTCTCAGACAAATTAATATGTACTTATTCTTTAATTATGAATAATGCAAGTCTGCAAAGTTTGAAGCAAATCGGAAGGCGCAATTCTATTCTATTCTTTCCTACCTGCTTATTAGTTTTTCGCAAAAAAAATTTAGGGTCATATATATATCTCTATACTTTATACCAAAATTCCTCAAAATCAATGCAACAGTTTAGGTGTGAAAGCATAACAAACAAACTAACTCACTTTTCCATTTGTAATATTCGTTAGGATAAAATAAATACTCGTACATATTACACAGAGCGTTTGAATGTCTTCTCGTTCTGATATTGCACAGCCAGGTGGCCGATATACATATGAGTATCAACATTATTTATAATTCGTAACTGTACAATGTCATCATCTCTGTCCCTATTGCATACAACCGCCATATTTATAGTTTCTGTAACTTCGGTCCGATCTTTATGAAATTGTCGTGACAATGTGCGGGGGAGGCTTACGTTCAGTGATGGATAAATAATGGGTAAATTGATGACGCTTCCCATGCTGTATCAAGCCGAACTATATTCATGTTGCTATCGTATTTGCTAGATGAAGGTCTTCAATGATTTACATTTCTATACTTGTCCTCTTTCTCGCCTACACATTTCACGCTTCACGCACGACGGAGAAAGAGATTGTTAGTAATGGGGTCAAATAGCCCCATTAGTAATGGGGCTATTTAACCTATATTTGACCTATTGCAATACTGACTGACTGATTGACCTGCTTTCATCCTCATCTATCATCCCTCACTGGTACCCCGCCAGTGTATACCAATAGCACAGACGGGGTTACCATATCATTGTTATCCATTAAAAAAAAGACTCGCACGTTATATGTACGCAAAGTGTTTCATATACGAGTACATTGTGCCACTTAAACTAACACTACACATCAACTGACAAACATTTTTGTTTTAATAATATAATCTTTGAAATGTTGTTAAAATGAATATTAAAGCTCATGTCTTTTTTTTTTTTTTGTATAATACGCTTACTCTTTATTGCACTAAAACATATAGTAATAATAACAAATTAGTAACAAAGTAAGCAAAGGCGAACTTATCTCTAAAAGAGATCTCTTCCACCCAAACTAACACAGTGGTATAGGAAGTAGTGAGAGGGCAGTAGTAGTGCTAAACAGGAAACGAAACAAGAAAAACAAATAAATATAAAAAACAAATATTTACATAATTTGTATTCCACAATTATAATGAAATTTGAAAAAAATGTAATGTTTTACATATGTATGTATGTAATGAGCATTTAAAAATTTACATTTTGCACATTATAACTTTATGTTATTTCTAGTCTAAAATAATTTTATGTGTAATATAATTTTATTTTCACTTTCACTTATTTATTTATTTCTCACAAAAAAAAACAAATAAAGGAACTTATCACCTATAATATGCGGAACATTTTAACAAATTTTAAATAGTATTTATTATTAAGTAATTGTGAATAATCATGACAGATTGAAATAAATAGAACATCAGCCTGTGTGGCTGTGAGCGATGAGTCCGCTAGCGATTCGTTTCGTGAGATATCAGTAAATATGAATTATGACAAATTGGACGACTTATAGTGGAAAGAGACATCGCCTGCACAGGAAACGATACTCGTATACTTTCGATTACTGCTGTTTTACATAAAATTATATGTAGTTGTTTCAAATCGAATTTACATTCATAAATATAATGAAGTTGCCTCTAAGTAATATAATTTGAAGCGAATTTGATTGCAGCAGGTATTTAGTTCTTGTCCTTAGTTCGAAGCAATTGTTTTTGACTACTTTTATCACCCAAACTTTTGTTGTTTGAAAAGTTTAAATATAATTTGTTTCTACTGTTTCGATTTGTATTGTTTAGTTATATTTGGTGATGAGAGCTAGAACCGAGAAATTACTTTCAAAGGGGTTTAATTTGTTTTAATGATCTTATCTCATGTATGCATTTATCATAGCTACGTGTAGCGTCCGTCGTCGGTACGTTGTACGATAAAAATGGAGTGCTAACACCACAGAGTGGATAATATAAAGAAGTCAGAATCACACATGACGATGACCCGTATTGATTTAGAAAGTTGTGTGAATGGAAATAAATTCCATCGTTACGAAGAGTGAAACAAAACAATGTATTTAGACGCCAAAACACATTTGTTAGTGCTGTACTAACCATCATAAGTCCACCGAGGACGATGTCACCTTCGATCACAGCCGCGTGCTTCACGGGCCACAGCGTTTCGTTTTCCGACGGCTTTTTCTTGTGTGCAAGCCGTACCTCGCGTCTGCTGCCGCCACTGCCGGCGCTACTGTTCTTTTCTGCGTGCTTCTGTTGATGCGATAGGATTACTTTCGGCTTTTCTGCCTTCGATCCGTCTATATTTTGGTTATTATTTATATTGGTATGATCAGTCGTGAGGCCTGTTGTTGACGTGGTGACGGCCGACGGTACCGTGCGAGTGACGTCGCGTTTCGTATTCGAGTAGGAGCGAATGTTATCAGTCGCCGCCACAGGTGATACTTCAGATGCGGTGCCAACGTCAGCGACGCGCGCTTCGTCCAGTTTCATGCTCGCCTGCAGGGACGAGGCGCTCGGTTGGAATACAGTGTCAGGCTTGCTTTTATACTTTTTCTTCTTGAACATCTTAGATATGTCGAACGGGGCGATGAGCGAATGTGTTTCTCTCTTGTATCTGCTATATTTTCTGGAGATGTAGTTTTCGTAGTCCACAAAGTAGTCGACGCGACTGAGAACTTTAAAGTCATCATTGAATATTTCAGAGACGTTAACGAAGTCGGCGCGCTCGTCGCCGTAAATGACAGTGCGATGCAGCAGCCTGGTGAGGCGGTCGTCGTAGTGCAGCGGCTCGGCGGCGAGGTGGCCGGCGGCGAGCCACCGCACGTCGTCGTGCAGCAGCAGCGGGCGCGCCGCCGCCGGGTCGCCGGTCAGGTTGCCCGCGCCCGCCGGGCTCGCGCGCGGCTGCACTTGCGCCAGCAGCGCCGATAGTGCCACCACTCGTAGCATGTTTCATCCGATGACTTTCACGTTTGTCATTTTGAAATATGTTACGTATTTGCATGCCACGCACATCTCTTAAAGTTTTGTTTCCTAAACACTTTTCATATTTTATTAACGCATTCACAGAAAACTCAGTTACAACGTGAAAAAAGATGACATCGTCTAAATTAACGATTTTATTAAAGGAACAATTACATTTTTATGTTTTTAAATTGAAAATTATAATATAAATTGTTTACGAATAAACATCCGCGTGAAAATGTCTCTGTAAAATATGCATTATTGTTTATATTTTGAACCGATGAAGTTTTTTATGTATTTGAATTTTTTTATAAATAAATAAATAAAAAAAAAATATTGAAGTAAATTATAATATTCGTATTTTAATTATGAGCGAAAACACATGAAATTGAATCAATGATCACTAATTATTTGATAAATGTGTCTTAAAAATGAACTATACGGTACGGTTGAAAATTAGAATTAATGTGCAATAAGTAGCGTATGAATAAAGTTGCTCGGTGTCCGAGTTCCGGTACGAGAGCGAGTTCGCGTGCGGTGCGCGGCGCGGCTCGAGCGTGGCGGAGCGCGTGGCGGCCGCGCGGTGTCGCGGCCCAATGCCGGAGCCGCCCGCCGCGCCGGCCGCCGCGCCGCCCGCCGCGCCGCCCGCCGGACACGACGCTTGCGGCGCCGCGCCGCGCCGCGCCCGCACTCCACGTGCTATCTTAGCTCTCCAACCAAAAAGGGGATTTTTTTTATTTTAGTTAACAAACAGTAATACAATATATAATTAACCATTTACATTTAAATATGAATAATAGTACTACCAACAACGTTAACTATTTTGCTATATAAAGAAAGAAAGTATATAAACATGCAAATATTGCTGAGAACCGGAACTGACCGTTACACCTATTCATTAAATTATATTTATAAATGACATTGACACAACCACACCGCTGATACCAACTACACAAAACAATAAAAAAAAAGATATTTAAATATAAAGCTATTTTATAATTTACTAATTATGTGTACGCATTACTAAATTCGTGAGAGAGAGAGGAGGTTACTAATTGTTTAGCTATCATTTTTCAGAAAGTTAATGTTTTAGTAGCAAAAATATCAATATTATGAAATTTGTCATTATATATTTTCAAAATTCTATTTATGGATGAACAAATACCAGAATTGGTACGGCATCTGCTAATTAATACTCTAATAACACTATTGAAACACTAGCTGTATGGATCAGCTGGTCTGCCATATAAATATCTTTATCTTGCTTGTGGAGACTCTAATCACCTAGCGGTATGAAAATTACTTTACAACCTACTCATACCAACTAATTATACATAAAAAAATCATAAAAATTGGTCAAGCAGTTTCAGAGGAGTTCGACCATAAACACCGCGATAGGAGACTTTTATATATAAAATGGAAGTCATATTCTAATAACTGCTATGTAATTGAAAAATTGGTAGAATACGTTTCTCCTATGTTAGGCATATCACAAAACAGTGAAATAATGGCTTAAGCCACTTACATTTACAGATTAGAATAAAAATAATCTTTATTCAAATAGACTTATTTATAGGTTCTTTTATTGTAAATCGTCATTTTTTTATGATTGTACTGCTGAGTTCTGGATGTTGTTAGCTGCTGAGAAGAGTCCGTAAGAAACATAAAAGTTAGTATTTTCAGATTAATATGTACAAGATAATTTAACATTTGTATTTGTACTGTGTCTATAATTAATATTTGGTAGAGATATCTACGTTTACAATTTTTGGGCCATCACCATCACTTTTTTTATAGGATGTTAATGGTATGGTAGCCCCGCCTGCGCTGTCGGTATACACTGGCGGGGCACCAGGAAGGGGTGATAGGTGAAAATGAAAAGGTCCGTTAGCTCATCGTAACGAATACACCAGGAATTCAGCACGATGGTTTCCAGGAGGGACCACATGGAGGTCGACCTGCAAAGATATTTTGCTAGCAATGGGACTGGCAGTCCGCATTACTAACAATCCCTCCCCTCTCACCATCAGGTTAATAAATTAGAAATTAGTAGAGGAAGAAATAGAAATTATTCTCATGATCTAACTTCACCTTTATAAAACATAGTAAGAGAGGATTTGAATACTTATATATATATATATATATATATATATATATATATATATATATATATATATATATATATATATATATATATATATATATATATATATATATATATATATATATATATATTTAAGGAGATTTTAAAATGCATAGAAAAATAACTGATAAAATTTTCATCGAGAGCAGGACGAGTAACGTCATAAATAAATGAAATACAAAGACTATAGACGCGTGAGTGACGCCTGTGTACAGTGTAAACAACAGCCGCCGAATGTCTGTAGTAGTGGCTTAAGTTATTAATTGCGATAATGTAGTCTCGGAGCCTTTGTCGTAGCTTGTAGGGCAGTGATACGTCGCAGATGCGTGCGGCCGCACCGGCTCGTTGACTTTGCCAATTAAAACTTTATTATCGACTAACACGACAGCCAAACGTATCTTCAGTTCAATCTCGGTGTTTATCGTACATGTATTCAATACTCAAGAGATGGAATCCAAGATCGGTAGTTAGTAAGTTGTTTAAAAGGAGAGAAATAACAACAAAATGAGCTAACACTAGGTTCCAAAGACACGCGAATCAAAATGAAAGTGATAAAATAAATGTTAGTTAAATACTTATGAATGTTTTTTTAGTATAGTACATATGTATGTAGTATTTATTTTATTGCCAAAAGCTTTGTGAGCACACATTATATTTTAATGTAATCACTACCGGTTTAACTTACGCGTAATTAGATCACAAAAGATCGACTAGTTTCGGAATCAATTCGTGGAATGAAATTAATTTATTTGCATTAAACAGTCTTAAAATTATTACATCCATAGTTCCTAGCTTTTTTTTATGCTACTTAGAATGGCAAACAAGCTGACGGCCCACCTGATGGAAAGTGGTATTCGTCGCCTATAGACATGAGCAGTACCACGGACATAACAGAGTATATTGTTTCGCCCACGATACCCCCTATGCATTGCCATTCCTGAGGAATCAGGTGTTATTCCTCTGTACCCAGTAAATTCACGCCATAACCCACTAACAACAGTTGCAATTAATGGGTGCGGAGATATGTCATTGTAGTTTTGAGCAATAGCTACACATGAGTCGTGGGTGTACGCGTGAGTCGCAGCGCACATTCCCATGAATTCGAAATAAATATCATTTGTGTTATCCATTTTATACCAGTGGCCCATGTGGTATAAACTCGCTAGTACATTATATCGACCGATTGTCGGAAGGACCACTCGTACTGCAAGTAGTAAGCATAACACTGGAATCAATCGCGTTGTTCGTAACGTCGGTTAGTTATTGTTGCATTGGGTTGTGGTTTCGCATAATAAATAATAATCTTCTCGAAAGTGATCGACCCCTATCTTCCGCTGAATGTAAACAGGGATTCGATTAACTCTCATTATATACTAATAAAAAAATTGCCTTAATGCCATGCACCAATGACTATGTGTCGGTGTCGGTACCGCAGCCGATATTGTAATTCTTCTGACGGGATTTCAGCGAGCGTCGGTCTATGTCGTAGGTGTTTATTTTACCAAATAATAGTGCTACTGATTTCAAATTAATACCCACTATTTTTAAATGTTAACACTTACAATCAACTGACTAAATGTAATAATTATTATGTATTAATGTATTTAAAATAACTATTTAGACTTGTGTTATTAAGGAATTTATACTTTAAAAATGTAGGCCACTAAAAATCACTAACATGTACTGAGATATGATTTGCATGTCTTTAGCGAAGGCGGAATGTGTAGCACTGTTATCATTTAAGTTACCATTTGTACAGAGCACATTTCGAGCAAATAAATTATCATTATTATAGCAAATCCATACTAATGGGGGAAAAGAGATTGTTAGCAATGGAGTTTGACAGCCCCATTGCTAGCAATATGCCCTATTAGGTCGACCTCGACGTGGTTCCCTCTGGAAACCATCGTGAACAATTCTTGTTGAATTCGTCACGATGGGCTAACTGACCTACTTCATCCTCACTTATCATCCATCACTGGTGCCCCGCCGGTGTATACCGATAGCGCGGGTGGGGTTACCATTCCATTATCACCCATTAAAAAAATCCATAAATATTATATAATATAAATATTATAAATGTGAAAATGAGTTTGTTTATTATTTCTTGGCGTTCGGCTAAACCAATGATCATGTAATTAAGTACACGCAGTAGAAAAGGACGTAGGCTACTTTTTATCTCAGTTATATCAATATAATCCAGTCACACGGACGAAGTCGCGGCGTAAAAGTTTAATACAATTATTTTATTCCAATGAAATTTTCGTAATATTATTTATTGAATTAATGCTCAATTATATTACGAAAATTTCGTTGAAAAATATAATTGTATTAAATTTTAATGCATTACAATTTTACTATTTATTACGAATTCTAGTGAAGTACTGCAGATATAATTGTGTTCCACAAAAAATTACTTCAATCGCGGCAAAATATTTTTATTTAATAAATCCAGTTCATTTAAAAACTAAACTACTGTACATATTTGGTTATCATTTCTATGCGACTATTCTCTAAGTATTTTCTTTAAAAAAAAAAAAAGAATTTTTCAAATCGGTCCAGTTATTTTCGTGTAATCGGGAATCATATATAAAAAAATAATCATTTCTCCTTTTTTTGAAGTCGGTTAAAAAGTGAACAAAACTAAGATTAAATACTTAGTTTCCGATAATCATTTGATAACCTGTCTGTTGCCGAGATTTGGTCATAAAATATTAATCATAGATTTCGAAACATATAACAAGCAGTAATGTCTCTTTCTAGGAAGTGTGTAAACTCGCACACTGCAAGTGAAACATAAAGCTAGCAGTTAGTTAATTTGTCAGTCTCTAATCCTTCTGTAATTAAAGTTTGTTTTATTCCGCAATAATATCACTACTTCCTATGCCACTGTGTTAGGTTGGGTGGAAGAGATCTCTTCTAGAGATAAGTTCGCCTTTGCTTACTTTGTTACTAATTTGTTATTATTATTGTATATTTTAGTGTTGTTATATTGTTTTTCTTTACAATCTGTAAATAACTTCAGTATGTGCACCGACTTGATTTTGTTCAAAATGCGAACGCCGCTTATCGCGGGCCGGGTTATTATCAAGCGACGTTGCTCAAACTCCACACTCTTTTATTAAATTTGCTTGCGCCGGCGGTAGACTGTGATCAAAACTTTTCATAAAGAACTTCACGGAGCGTGTGCTGTATACAGGAATAAATCGAGATAAAACGGAATATGTACGGCTAGTGTAACGGAACATTTTGCGCCGTATTCTTTTAGAAAAATGACTTTATGTCAAAAAAGTTTAATGGACTTCGTGGTTTTATTTTAATGTATATCAGCTGTGGAGGTTTTTCAAACCTACAATAGATAGATAGATAGATAATTTATTTGCATTATTTACAGCACATAAACAACAATATACATAGATGCACAGTGAAAAAAGATAAAAG